TGCAGTGTTAAATACTGTACCAAATGAATAATCTAATTTCCTTTAATTGTTACAAATACAAATAGCATTCATTAAATCAAATCAAATTCATAAGCAGACATGGTTGTAGTTCTAAAACTTTCATATCCTCTTTCCTATTTAAACAGGCTCTGGTCCTTAATTTCTATTTAAAAATTCCATGGAAATATACATGCTAGGACGTGTACCCTTGGCTCCATTCAACTGTCTAGCTCATACTTTTGCTGTGACAAACTATGGGTAATTTAGACTCATGATTTTCATGTATCTTAATTTCTTTCTTTTAACCATAAGTACTGTAGGAGAAACCCGATGTTGTGGTTCAGTGGTAGAATCCTTGTCTGCCAGATGGGAGACTCCAGTTCAATTCCTGGATGTGTATATAACTATAGTTATTGAGGCACTGAATGTTGTTGGCCTGATTTTAAGAATCAGCAACCAATATTCAATTGTGGGCAGAGTGCAATATCCTTACAATGACCAATCACAACATATCCCATTGATAACTTGGAGACCTTCATTGACAATCAGCAAGCAAGTAAAGGCTCTCACCTTACGTTTGTGCCTCAGAGATGCATGCAAGAAGACAGACATCTGGCCAGCACATGATTCCACAGGTCTCTTGCTTCAGTTTATTGTGGTCTCACCTGGAGGAAGTTGGTAAGCGATGAACACATTCTTTGTTCCTCTCCAGCGTTATACTTTTAGTCCATTCATTGTGTACCTAGCTGGTGCTTGTTCATTGGTGGTCGAGTCCAACATACCTTGTCCAGCCAATGGAGATACTGTCCACGTGAATTTCATGCACCCAGTGTCGATCATATAGCTGGAATTTTTCCATCCCTAATTGGGACTTTGAGGTACCAAGACAGGCTCATTCGTGCAGCTGCGATCTTATCTTTTGAATATATGGGAGATGGGGCTGCTTCTCTTCTCAAGGTTCATTAAACATTCTCTGCTCCCCCCCCAAAAATCTCTCTCTCTGAAATGTGTGAGAACTGCCTTGTAACAGAGCTGCTCCTCTGCTAGGTTGAGAGCGCCTGATTTTGCTTTATAGCACACTAGTCAGTCACACTTTTATTGTTAGATTGAATAATAATCAATAAGCACTAAAATTCTAAATATTTGAAATCTTAGCCATCAAATGTCTGGATTTGGTCTGGCCTTTGGATACTGTCTCAGTGGTCTAAAGAGGGGATGGAATGTCTGGGTAGCCTCCACTCCTCCATAGGTGTTTGCCTCAAAGGTCCTGGTAACCATTCACGCATAACCCATGATCCAGAAGGATCTACAGTTGTCTATTGCTACTACTACTACTGCTGGAGGAGCAGTAGTACTCCTTTACCTTTGGCTTCTGCAGTGATGCTAAGCCTGTCTTATGTAGGCATGATTGAGTGGCTGGTTCTACATCTTCCCCCTCTCTCTTTTTTCATAACCAGGTAGTTGACCAGAGCATGTGTCTTTTTTCATAACCAGGTAGTTGACCAGAGGATATGCTTGCTGCTGGCAGGATTGGTGAATCTAGCTGCAGTTATTTAAATCCTCTCATGGCTGTTTTAGAGTAATCAGCTGGCTTCTCCACCCTGATCCCACAACTTGTAATGTGTCAGAACTTACCCCCTTCCTGGAGTTGGGCCCAAAATAGGTCAAAATATAGGCTACAGCTCCTTTTCTGGCTTTGCTGCTTTCAGGGCTCCTTTGAAGGCTGACTAAATTTTCACTCCCAGCAGAATCTTCCCCATCAACATTTCCTTTTATTCAGGAAAAGGCAAGTTGTGTCTGCAAAACACACTTTATACATGCTGACAGGATTAACACCTGGTAGCAGCCTAAGGTTTTTGGATAAGCACACTACTGTTTTCCATGCTGCTAAAAATACACACCTGCATATCACAGGCAAATACTTGTCCAGGAACACCATGTTTGATATGTTACATTGAGCTCAAACACCAGAGACACAAGGTCCTGCAAAATGCCAGCACATCACCTAAAAGTGTTATGAGGGTGCCTGAAGCCTTGAAAGATCCCTTCAGTTCACATCTTCAGTGACAGGGTTGGTAGCCAATGTGCATTTCAGAAGTTCGAAAAGGAGTGGAATGGGGTTAGTATCAATTTTTTTGTGAAGGCTATATAGTGAGCTCAAGAACTGAAAATTAAATGTTTGCTGATTTCTTTTGTAATGACAAACTGTGAAGTGATTATTGCAAACGAGAAAAGACAGAAAACAAGCAAATGCCCAGCAGAAGAACAACCACGAAAATAATGAGGAAGCTGCACCTGCTACAGACTGGCATGTGAAAGCCTGAAATTATCTTTCTTGTCCTCTGTTAAGTGGAACATGGGAGGGAGTGAGAGAAGTGGTCCTGGAGATTCCTGTAGTGCAGGGGGCTAGGACCCCCCATAAGATATGTTCTCCAGAACCTAGACGGACAGCAGACTGGGGCAGCTTGCCAGATCTGGTGGTCAACCTTCTGCAGCATCTCCATCTGTTGCCAGATGCATCCCATCTGTCAGAATAGGCTTGTTTGCTTCCTGATACTCCCAGGGCAGGTTCTTTCACATATGCTCATCTTTCCACAGCATCTCCCCAGCACAACAGCTCCATGAACTTCTCCTTTCTTCCTCCATGTCACTGTCAGCCAGAGTGTTACCAACAGGTCACTCAAGGATGCTATTAGTAATAAATCTTAAATGTTCCATGTCTCCATTACAGCAGAAGGCAGGGTAGGGTGGCACATTAGAAACTAACTGCTTCTGTGGCATAAGCTTTGGTAGACAACAGCTTGTTTGGTCAAATGCTTTAATCAGATTTACAGTGGCAGCCTAAGGCAGAAAATAACTCTGAAAGATCTCTAAAATACTGCTCTTGTAGGCTTACCATAGACAGCAATTCCCACTTCTTTCTAATGAACCTCTTGTACCTCTGCCAGCAATATGCCAGTACCACCTGTGGCCAAGTTATCTGTAGCCATACTTCCCCTACAAGATACCCCCTCTCCCCTCCTACCTAGGCCAGCAATGTACCCACAGGCACTTGCATCTAATCTATTAGGCTTCCACTGTGGAGTTTGGGGGTTAATAAGACAAAACAACCATTACTCCTGTCCGTGTTGGGAAAGAAGGTTTTGTGGCAATACTGTTATTGGACCAACTAGCTAGGTGGCAGAAATGTCAGATAAATTTTGGGCAAAAAGTACTCTTCTTCAGTGAAAAACCATTTAAAAAAATAGAACTGATGAAATACTTAGTTTAACATTTTGAAAACTAAATGTTTTAGGTTCTCATTTGAAAAAAGGTTTTTGGTTCAAGTTGACCCAGGACCATCTTTTTCCTCAATACTCAAATGTTTCAGTTCAACCGGCAAACCAAAATAGTAATTTCTACAGCTCTACTCCCCCGCCCCCCCCAAAAACAAAACAAGAAAAACCCACCTCTCCCACACATACCTGATGACTCCTGCAAACTGATTAAGACAAGCATGGTATAATGGAATATTCTGTAGGGAAGCTGCTTTTTCCACAGTGGATTAAACGTTGGTGATAAATACACATGTAGCTAATTTAAATTCTTTAGGGCAAAGATGGTGTTTTCTGTATTCGTATAGCATTCACTATAAATATGAAAAGGTTCTTAATATTTTTATTAATAGGAAAAACAGCACAACTGGTACAAGTACCTTAGTTAATTCCGTTTTTAATCAATGTTTCCTCTTTGTTGTTTTTGATCCATGTGCCCTTCGATTCTTGTTTAAATAAATAAAGGCCTCTTGCATTCCAGAGATGTTCTTTTAAAACAGAGGGAACCTTATCATTTTCTTCTCAGTCGGACCAATGACAGCTATGTCAGAATGCTTTCTGTGCCAGAAGTCTCAGTGAGCCAACAGCTGTTCAGAGATCTGTTCCAATCACAAAATCTTGAGATAAAACAGGCTTTACTGCAAATCTACAGCTGTGTTAGGGAAACCCTCCTATATATTAGGCCACACACTGCAAGACTACTTTTGTAGTACTAAAGAATAACTGCACTTGGTTCACAGGCTGAAAAACAAAAACAGGAGAGAGCAAGGTAGAACCCACTTTCTCTTGCCCTTGTTATTCCCCCCCCCCCACACCCTATGACAACAATCTCTCACACACTTTTTTCCAATCTCTCTATTCTAGAGGTGTGCTTGTTAATTGGGTGGGTCAGCTGGCCTTTAAAAAGTTGGTTACAAGGATCAGTTACTAGTACCACTTTGATTATTTATTTACTCGTTCATTAGATTTGCGCGCCACCCTTCTCAAAGCAGCAGCTCAGGGATTAGTTCAACATGCTGTTTCTGAAGCAGCACCAGTGTTGTAGGAGGGAACAAACACAAACAAACAAACAAACACACACCAAAAACCCCAACCAAACCCCCCCCCCCAAAACAAACACCTGAAGTTAATCAGCAAAAGGATATTAACATTTGGAATATCAATGTCTGAAGTGTAATGAGTATAACCAGAACACAAGTGTTTCCTTTTTAAAGTATTAATACTATGAAGTCTATTCTCCCATCATAAAGCTCTCTATGCATTTGCATATGAGCAAGGGCACATTTGAAGTAAAGAAACAAATAATTACTCTAATAAAATGGCTATAGTTTTGCCTTGCAACTCAGCCACCACATTTGTAAACTGACACAAAATTCAGGGCCCATCCATTGGTGGTGGGAGAGGGGAGAAAGAAAGGGCGAATAATGGTTGTACCGAGAGCCCAGCTCAACTTGTTGCTGCTCAATCAGCATTGCAGCTGCTCCTCCCCCCACCCAGCAGGGCCAGGCCGGAGCCTGGGGTAAAAATGCTATAGTAGGAGTATAAACCACTTGTTAGCAGCTGGGACAAAGTAAAGCAGTTTAACCTCAGTAGCTAGGGGAAGCCAAGATGAAGGCTAAAGAACATGCATTTTGGAAAGACAAAAAAAAAAAAAAAAAAAAAAAAAAAATCACTAAGAAACACTTGTTGGATTCTTTGAGTTTATTTATTTGATTTTTCTGCAGTCCATATTATAATGGTGCAAACCTGGATTATGTTGGCTAAAGCCTGTAGTCTTCAATGCAGCAACAACAACGACGACGAAGAAACACTCATTGGCTGCATATGGAAGAAAACCGCAACAGACACCGGCGGTTTAATCATCATTTTTAAGCTTCTTGATCTTGTACTTGTGACGCTCGATTTCTTTCTGCAAAAGGTCTATCTGTTTCTTGTGGTGATCGATTTCTTCCTCGTGGTGTTTCTTCAGAGCCGCCAGCTGTTCCCTCTCCCTCTCCCTGAAGGGCACAGCAGGCGGCACACGGGTCAGCTAACACTTACCAAAGGTCTGGAGACGACGTGCTCCCTTCCAGCTCAG